CCAGAGAAACCAGTTTCCGTCAACCCCTAGGAGTGCCGTGGAAGGGCAGTTTGGCTTGTTGCTTTTCTTTTGGATTTTGATTTTTTTTATTCAGACTGCCTCCAAGTTGAGAGAGGGAGCTTTCCTCACTGTAAATAGAATCGGGGTAGAAAGTTAAATCAGTTTCGTCACAGAGGCAGAGTTTACCTCAGAACCTTCTCAGCTCTGGGTTGACTCCCTAGATTCAGTCCCAGGACTGTGACAACTGAGAGTCTGAAACAAGGAGAAATCTTAGCCTTCCGAGGCAGGATGTGGGAAGTGTGCAGGGGAAAGGGGAAGAGGAGTGGGAGGCTCGCCATGCAGGGGGTCCCACAGGGGGACAGCTGACCGCCTGCGAGGTCGGAGGGACCAGATCATGGAGAAAAGTGGGATTTGCTGGGGCAGGTGCCTGTAAAGGACCTGGAAGGAAAACAGCTGACGATGTTGGATGCCTGTTTTCAGAACAGGAGAGGAAAGTGGGTGAGCATACAGCTGATGATAAGACTCAGGTCAGCCTGTGAGGTGGGGCTGAGAGAGGACTTTTTAATATTAAAGGAAAAAAAACGATATTGTGATAGCAGCTATCTGGAGGGAGGGTCCTAAGAGAACTCTGAGGTTCTACTCAGCACCGGATAACTGTTGGTTTGAGGGGCGGATACATGCAGAGCCAGGCCGCCATTCCAGGCTCAGTCAGCCACAGTCTGCTTACTACAGAGGGATCAGTTGTGGAAAGTAGGCCTGGGGCACAGGAGAGAGAAGATGGGAAGTCTGGTGTCCCAATTACAGACTCCCCTCCCCACCCCTCCTTCCCGCCTGCCACCCAGAATAGCCCTGGCATCTTTATTGGGTCAGGCTGCCAATTCACACTGAGCCACTGCTCTGCTCGCCCAGCCCTGTCCCCCTGTCCTGTTCCCAGAGCCTGCAGCCTTCAGAGCATACTCGGGCCGTGTGTACTCCCGAAAGACAGCACAGCATCATAAAAAGTATTTGGAAAGGTTCAGTTCTGAGTCTTTCCTAATTGTATGGCCTTAGATGCAAAAAGCACTTCCCTTTTCTGAGCCTCAGTCTCCTTGTCTGCCCTGTCTACACCTCAGGAGGTTGCTGTGTAGTTCAAATGGAATGCATAGATGTACCTTATAAATGATACGTTATTATTTTACTAATATTCCCCCTCCCCTCCCACCGAGGCTGCTGCTCTGCACAGGCACAGCCTCACACCTCTTGGAGCTGGGACTTCCACAGCCTCATCTTTCCTTGTTTTCATCTATAAAGAGGGGTCAGCAGGGACCCTGAGTGGGGTCCAGTACTCTTATGTACACTTGATAAGAAACCATGAGAATGCTGTTTCTCATTACTCTCGGCTGCAGAAGGCAGGCATTGTTCTGTTGGCTCCTGCACGGCTTGCTCTATTCAAGGACAGAATGTCCTATCTCTGAATCACTCAGCCTGTTTCTTCTCTTCTGTCTTCTCGCTGTTTGCCTTTTGGCTTTTTTCATGCTCATTTGTATCCCTGTTTGAAATTAGCAAGTGGAATTGAGAATAAATAATCGCAGCTGCCATGTGTTGAGCCCTTGCTGAGGGCTTATCTTTAATCTCAGCAGTTCTGCAGGACTGGGATGAGGTATCTGAGGCTCAGAGATAATAAGCCACGTCCCAAGGTAACAAACCTTTAGGGGTAGAGCCAGCATTCAAACTCAGATCTACCGGACTCCAAACCCTGTATTTTTTTTCTAATGGAAATAGCTTTCTTGCTTTCTTTCCTATCTTTTTTTGAATAATAAAATACCTCAGACCCACAAAGTTGCTGAAAGTAAAAAATCTAACATACCTTTGGCTAGGATATAGAGCAATGGAAACTTTGTCATGGGTATAGCCTCTTTGAAAAGCAATTTGGCAATATCTAGTAAGTGGAAAATGCACATTGGAACCATTCCATTTCTGGGTATATACCCCAGGGAAACTATTGAATATGTACTTGAAGATACTTGTGCAGAAATGTTCACCATAGCATTGTGTTAAATAGAAAGGGTGAAAAAAAGGAATTGACCTAGATGTCCATCAACAAGAATATATATAAAAAATATATATATAAGATGCTATATTGAAACCTTAAGATAATCAATGTAGTTAAACTTTAATAATCTAATCTAGAGTGGCATGTATAAATGTAGAAAACATGTTTGTTGACCACAAAAAAAGTAGTATGTATACTGTAGAGTAAAAAATTTAGAAATAGGCATACAAATACCATATATATTTTTATGAATATCCACATATATAAATAAGTATACAAATATGCATGATATTGATAAGCACCAAACTCAAGAGAGTAATTAACTTTGGGGAAGGAGAGAGATGGGAATCTTAAAAATTCTGCCTGCATTTTATTTCTTAAAAAATATTTGGTGTTAAGTAAGATTTAACAAAGCTGGATGTAGGCATGAAGATATATATATATTTTTCTATGCTTTTCTGCATATTGGAAATAATTTATTAGACATAAAATTATACATATTCATTATAAAAAATTTAAATATTTCAGAAAGGCATAATATGATGATAATTAAAAATCACCCATAATCACACCATCCAAAAACACAATAACTGTTAACATTTTGTTGAGTATCCAGACTTTTTCTAAGCATCCACACGTGTACACACACCTCTTTAAAATAAAACTACATTTTATCTGCTTTTTTACTTAACATGTTGTGGAAACCTTTTCATGTCTACATAGAGCCATGAAATGATTTTAATGACTACATAATATTCCCTCACATGGGTAAATAATAATTTAACTTGTCCATATTGGTACACTTTGGGGTTGTTTCTAATTGTTTGCATTTGTAAGTAATATTGCAGCAAACATCCCTGCTTATAAAATTTTGTCCCCATCTCTGATTATTTCCTTAAGAAAATTCCCAGGAGTGGGAATTTGGATCAGAGAACATGCACTTTTTAAAAGCCAAACCTGAGTTTTGTTTCATTTGTTTTAGAAATAATAGCTTTATTGAGATGTAATTCACATATCATAAAACTCACCATTTTGAAGTGCATAATTCAGTGGATTTTAGTATATTCACAGAGTTATATAACATCACCATTATGTATTTCCTGAACATTTCATCCCTCCAGAAAGAAACCCCAAATCTGTTAGCAGTCACTCCTCATTCTCCCCAATGTCCCCACCCCTAGAAACACCACCAGTCTACTTTCTGTCTCTGTGGACTACCTGTTCCAGATACTTCATATGAATGGAATCATGCAACATATACTCTTGTGTCTGTCTTTTACTCGGCAAAATGTTTTCAAGGTTTGTCCATGTTGTATCATGTATCAGTCCTTCATTCCTTTTTGTTGCCAAATAATATTCCACTCTATGGATATACCATATTTTATTTATTCATTAGTTGATGGTGATTTGGGTTATTTCCACTTTTTGGCTATTATGAATAATGCTTCTATGAACAATCATATACAAGTTTTTGTGTGGGCATATGTTTTCAGTTCTCTTGACTATATATCTAGTACTCTTAGGTCATATGGTGAGTCTATGTTTAACTTTTTGAAGAACTGCCAAACTGTTTCCAAAGTGGCTGTATCATTTATGTTCCCACCAACAATGTATAAAGGTTCTAGTTTCTGTCTGTCTTCACCAACCTGTATTCTTGTATCTTCTTTAATTATAGTCATCCTAGTGGCTGTGAAGTGGTATGTCATTGTGGTTTTGATTTGCATTTCCATAATGACTAACAATGTTGAGCATCTTTTTATGTGCTTATTGGCCATTTGTATATCTTCTTTGGAGAAATGACTATCCAGATCCTTTGAGCATTTTTAAATTGAGTTATTTGTCTTTTTATTGTTGATTTGTAAGAGATATTTATATATTCTGGATACAAGTCCTTTATCACATACTTGATTTGCAAATAATTTCTCCCACTTTATAGGTGGTTGTTTCACTTTCTTTATGATTTCCTTTGAAGCACCAAAGTTTTTAGTTTCAATGAAGTCCTATTCGTCTATGTTTTTCCTCGGTTGCTTGAGATTTTTTTTAAATTGAAGTATAGTTGATTTACAGTATTGTGTTAGTTTCTGGTATACAGCATAGTGATTCAGTTATATACATATATTCTTTTAAATTTTTTTCACTATAAGTTATTACAATGCTTGAGCTTTTGATCTCATATCTAGAGAACTATTGCCTACCCTGAGGACATGAAGATTTATTCCTCTGTTTTTTTTTTCTATGTGTTTTATAGTTTTAGCTCTTACATTCAAGTCTATGATTAGTTTTGAGTTATTTTATATATACTACAAGGTAAGAGTCTTTTTTTTTTTTTGCCTGTGGATATCCAGTTGTTCCTGTACCGTTTGTTGAAGAGACTGTTCATTCCCCCATTGAATGGCCTTGGTACCCTTATAGAGAATCGATTGATTGTAAATATAAGGGTTTATTTCTAGACTCAATTCTATTTCACTGATCCATATGTCTGTCCTTATGTCAGTATCACACAGCCTGAATTACTGTTGTTTTGTGATAAGTTTTGAGACTTGGAAATGTGAATCCTCTACCTCTGTTCTTTTTAAGATTGTTTTGGCTATTTTGGAATTTTTGTATTTCAAGCCTGCATTTCTAGTCAATTTTTTGTTTGCTCCTATGAAGGAAAGTCAAAAAGCAGAACCACTAATTAATGGTTTTATATAGTGTGTGAAATCAGTCTATGAGTCTGACAGCTAAAGTAAGATTGGATTTCCTTTCTTCATTCTAGCCTTCAGTCAGACCTTTTCACTGTGGGGAAAAATTGAAACAAGGAGAGTGAAGGAATATGTGTCTCCTTGTGTTACACGAGGTTTGAGTTGTCAGGTTGTATTAGAACAAAGAGAAGAAAATTCCAGACCCCGCAGTCTGCAGGGCCCTGTGACTACCTGGATGATAGTTAATCCATTATGATGTCATTTTCCTTGTGTGTTTGGAGGAAATCTGTTTTGATGTAGCCTCTTCCCTCCAGCAGTAACAGCCAAATGAAGAAGCGGCCAACATCTGCAGTGGGCTACAAGAGGCCTATCAGCCAGTATGCTCGGGTTGCCATGGCAATGGGGTCCCACCCCAGGTACAGGGTAAGAAGCTCGGAAGTGGATGGAGGGAGGGGAGAGAGAACCCAGGGGAGGTGATGCTCACAACCTCCACTTCCTCTTCCTGCCTCATCACCCTTGCTACTCCCATTATTTACCAAGTGCCTGGAAAATGCAGTCATCAGGACCACTGCTCACATTTGGTATTCCCACCACAGGCTGAAAACATCATGTTTCTGGAGTTGGATGTGTCCCCTCCAGCTGTCTTTGAGATGGAATTCTCTCATGACCCAGATCAAGACCCCCGTGCGCTACATATGGAGAGACTCATGCGGTTGGACAGCTTTCTGGAAAGACCATCCACGTCTAAAGTCCGAAAGTCCAGATCCTGGTCAGTACCATCATGGTCAGAGTGGACTTAGAAGGCGTGGAAACCAGGTGGCTGGTAGAGGCTAAGGAGGGTTTTGGTTGTACTCAAAGGGCATGAAGGGAGGGTGATAACTGGAGCTGTTGGCCGACATCCTACAGTGACAGGATGAGGGAAAGGAAAGTCCTCGCTTTCCTGCTTCCTGCACTTTCCCAACCTCCCCTCTCACCCATCTCATCCCCACCCGCTACAGGTGCCAGAGTCCTCAGCGGCCCCCACCTTCCACCACACACGCCTCGCTGGCCTCCGCCGCTCTGCACCCCACGACAGTGCTAGACCACGAGTGACAGCCCTCAGCCAGGCTGCCCATCCAGCGACTCCGGGGATGGGGGCAGCCAACCCTGGACCATCTCGCCTGCCGCTCGGTGTGCGTGTGTGTGTGTGTGTGCGTGTGCATGTGTGTGTGCATAGGTGTGAGGAGGGTAGAACCTGGCAGTCCGTGCCACTGCCAGCCCTTCTTAGCCTCCTTTATTTAATTAATGTTATTTATTCGTGGAGCTGAGTTCGTGTGGGAGAGATGCCCTCGCCTGAGCCTGCCGGGGTCACCGCCTAGCCTCCTTTTCTCTGACTTTAGACCCCCCTGCCCCAGTCACACCTCGGGCTCCTCCCTGTCACTTGCCCCCCAGAAGGAAGGCGTCCAGTACCTGAGAAGAGGGTACTTTTTCTACCTGGCTCTCTCCATAATCTCCATCTCCTCCTATGCTGACGGTGAGCAGCTCCTGAGCACTTTCTGGGACTAGAAAAATGCCAGGTGACCACTGAGGACAAGAGACGTCTGTCCTGATGGTGTTGAGCTTGTGCTCCCGGCGGAGAGAGCCCTGCTGGCCACCTTCTGGGCCTCAAACCTCTTTCGGCTTCTTGGGCTCCTTTTCAAGGACTTCAGTGACCTCATCCACACAGCCCATGCTGTTCAGCTTTGGCAAGAACTCATAGCTTCCCAAACTGCTTCCTGCCCACCTTCCCAACTCATGGATGGGAATTGTGAACTGAGCAGTTGCTGCCTCCTGGGGACCTGCAGGAAATTGAACAGTCATGGAGACAACATGGACAGTCATCAAGGGAAGTCCCTCTTCCGGGTCCCTTTGTTTCTGTCCCCTCTGAGAAGTAACTTTGGCCGACCAGCAGTCAGGCCAACTCCCCATCTTCGAGATGCTGCTCCTTCCTGCTTTTGTCATTTTCCCTGCAGCTGCCAGGATCCCAGTTCAGTGGGAGGGATCAGTGTCATTGTCCCCCTGGCTAAACAGACATATCGGAATCTGTGGCTCTTCCCATCATTGAGAGCAGGAGATGAAGACCCAGACACAGCCTGCCAACTCTGCCTATCACCCCTGTTTCTGAATCACGTTTGTTGGGCACTGTTTTGTTGAAAAGACCGACCCTTTCTTCAGTGTTGTGCAAATTGGTCGCTAGGGAAGTACTCTTCACTTTCCTTTGTGACATCCCAAGATGTCTCCAGGTATCTCGAGTAAATTTCTACAAAAAAAGGAGAGAGATTTAATTTTCATTGACTTAGTTTTTAAGTGTGTATTTTGATGGAAGGGTGGAGAGGTAATCATGAACAAAAACAAGTGGTTTAGGATTTCAAAATGCCCTAATAGTGGGAGCCTCCAGTTCCTAGAATACGAGGAGTTTAGGCATAGGGGTAAAGGCATGAAACTGACAGATCCACCTGGAATTTGGTGTGTGGAGTTGGCGATGGGGTTCAATTACCTGCTTGTTCTCTTTCCATCAGGAAATGAACCCTTCTTGCACAGTTCAAGTTCTGCTCTAAGGACCAAGCTATGGTTTGGTTTAATTCAATGATGCTGTCGTTTCTGCTGTAACTGCTATGACAACTCAGTTACCACTTGCTCCTGTCCTTCAAGGAAAGAACATTTTTCATCAGAGCCCAAGAGATTTTTTGAGACTCAGGATTCAGATCAGAGGTTCAGCTGTGGCTGGGACAGGAGTGGTGTGTAGAAGTCGCCCAGGTGGCCTGGGCGCAGAGGGACCTCCGAGCCTGCGTTGAGCAGCCTCTCCCACTGACCTCTTTCTCGTTTGTGGATGAAGCTGCACGTGTTACCCCCGTTCATCACTTGGGCACATCGACTCTGCATTTTCTGGTCACGTGACCCTCACAGTCTTATTATAGCACAATATACCCAACTTCCCCATCCCCAGTCTGAGGGCTGGACCCAAGGTGTGGTCAGAGGAGGAGCTCCTGCCTGCAGTTTTGTGTACGTGTGTATGTGTGTGCGTGTTTGTGTGTGTGTTTACCTCCACAGGGGACACTCTACACTCAGTGTAAGATATGCTGGGAACAGGGCCACTGGGGTGGCTGGATCTCAGTCTCTCTGTCTCTGTCTCTCTCTCTTCTTTTCCTTTTGATGTTTCGAACATTTGATTGACAAAGTGAGGGCCTTGGTTAGGACCAAATTTCCATGTCTGTTGCTATGGTCTTTATTTAGGACAAAAATTAATAATGCAGTGGCCCATCCTTGTCACTCTAAACACATGACTATACCGGACATATGTAATATATAAATATATATATATAAAACATTACCCTCTGTCTCCTTGGCTTAGGATGAGATTCTCTGTTGAGCTGAAGTGCACCTGCGGCCCAGTGCGTCCAGCAGCCCGCAGGCCCCAGCCCTGTTCAAATTAACACAGTCGATAATAAAGGAATGAGTATCGTTACAGAATTGGTTGCCTGACTTCTCTTCCCTTTGATTCTTTCTACTTTTCTTTTCTTTTTTTATCTTCTCCCTTCTCTCTCTTCCTGGTTTTTTCCAAGAGGGGTTCAAGAGTATTTGGAGCCCAGCTGCAGTTATCAGCACCTCGGAAAAGAACTGGCTGCTCAATAAAAGGGATCTCTGTCTGACCAGCAGTGCTGAGGGGCAGGGCTCAGGCTCTGGTCTGAAGTCTGTGTTCAAGCTACAGCAGCACTGTTTGTGTTCTAGGCTGGTGGTCCCCTCCCAGTTAATTCTGAGCTATTAGCAGATTTCAGAACTGCCTATATGCTGTCCAGATTAGCTGTCAGTATCATTTGACAGCTCTGCCCCGTCTCCTCCACGTATCAGCCAAGAGAGATTAAAACAGGCAATAATGTGTTTAAAGCACATAGATATGCCTGGCGCATGGTGGGTGCTGAGTGAAAATAATTAAAGACTAGCTTCCCCTTACCCTCTCTTCCCAGGCCTCTTTCCCTCCCTCTGGGTTCTAGCTGTCGGCTCCCTGTAGCATGGAGATCTTACAGGAAATGAGAAGTAGCTGCTGCTAAAAAACAAACACGAAGCCTCTGACTCCTGGGAAAGCACTGAGGTAAGCCTGGTGCACAAGGGACGGCCGTGCGCCCACTGGGGCACTAATGGTTTTCCTGCAGGGGTGTTCTGCCTCTGCGCTGGGCTCCAGCACTGAGTTCTAACAGAGTTCCGGGGCTCTGCTGCTGGAGAGGGACTTGCCAGGTGTTGTGTTGGGTACCTTACACACGCATGGTCATTTAATTCTCCCTGGTGGGAATGATCGTCACTGGTTTACGGATGAGATTTAGGGAAATTAACTTGGCTAAAGATGTGTGGTTAGCAATGGAACCAGACTTCATATCTTTTGATTCTGGGCCTCATCTGTCTGGCCCATCAGAACTGATAGGGACCCTACGTGTTTTACAGGCAGTGCAAGCCAGGGTCACAAGGGCAGGTGGTGAGAGTAAAACCAAATCTCCAGATCCATAACCTTGAGGTCCTATTTAAAAAGCACTCACTCTTCTCATTAGCTGTGGGCTTACTTGTGTGGCTGAGATACAGGGTTCTAGAGTGCTGCAGAACAGCCAGAGGGCAGGAAGTCACCTTTGGCTGGGTGGAACAGCTTGCTTGTTGACAAGGCAACTGCCATGTTTCTCTTCTGTCAAGGTTGGGTGTCTGATCTCCACCGAGTGACTTCTTTCTGTTTTCAGATGCCAAGGGCCTGGGGTGTGTGTTAGTTAGAACTCTTGGCCACTACTAAAGATTCATTTAAGCTGGCCAGAATAAACTAAAGAGACAGAAGCCTGCTGTGGACTCCAAGGGCAAGGACAGGGCCAGACCTCAGGAACAACCTGGTACCAGGGACTCAAATCCCACAAAGACCCTCTCTATCTGACCGCCCTTCTCCCTTCTGTGTGTGGGTTCATGCTCTTTCCTCAGCTGCTCCAGTTGGTGACAGAAAGTCCATCTGCCGGCAGCTCTGTTCACATAATCCAGTCACTCAGAGAGACTTAGAATCTCATTCCCAAGGCCAAATTCATGGCAATGTAATTCCGATTCAGTGGTTTGAGGCAGGTGGGTGGGAACATGATACATGAACAAGACCGCCAGGAGTCCTACTGCTGTAACCATGTGTGTACAGGGTGGTGGTGGTAAAAAATAAAGATATTCCTTAAAAAAGTTGATGAGGGTACCAGTGGGTGTGAAATGTGCTTTGAGTAGTCAACAAAACAGATGTTCCCGTCCAGTGTATCCATCACCCCGGATGGCTTAAGAAAAACTTGCTCTGGGCTCATCCTTTTTTTTTTTCCCCCGTGGCCATTTTTCTTACAACAGATCACCTGCACCAAAATTACCACCCTCAGAGATTCTGCTTCATTAGGTCCAGGATAGATCCATGTGATGGACTCCACAGGTTGCCTTTCCAATATCCATGCTTCCTTTCTTCCTTACTTGCAAAATTATTTTGTTCAGGAGGGCAGTGCACCCAACTGAAAATACTCATATTCCCAGACTCCCTTACAGCAATGGGGAGCCATGTGGTATGGTTTTGGCTGAGGAGATGGAAGTGGAAGCCGGCTAGGGTTTCTAGAAATGTTTTTTTTTTCTTGATATAAACATTATCCATTTCACCTCTTCCCATGTCCTCTACCTGCCTAGATTTCAAATGCACTTCCTGAAGTACATTCTTTCATTGAACAAATATTTATTGAGCTCCTTTTACCCATATATTCCAAGTACCGTTCTAAGTGCTGGCAATACAGCAGTGAACAGAGCAGGCAGAAGTCCCTGTCTTCATAATGCTAACATAGAATGGGGAGAAAGACATCAAACAACAACAACAACAACTCAAAACTACTGCATGTCTGATGGCCAAGTGTATGCGGCCAAGAAAAACAGAGAAGGGAGATGGGGAGTTCTAGGTATTGATGGTGGTGGTGATGGAGGTGAGGGAGGGGTGCAGCTTTAAAGCCCTTACTAAGAAGGTGACAGCGAAGCAAATTGCTGAAAGAGGTAAGGAAGTGGACTCTAGGAGAACAGAAACGAATGCAGACGTCATGGGTGAGAGGTGTCAGGCGTGTTCAAGGAGCAGCAGCCACATGGCAACCGTCAGGCAACAAGCACAACAGGGAAAGCGTGACGGAGTGGAGAAAGCGGGAGACCCGAGTCCCTGGCAGGGTATGTGCTGCTGCACTGCTTGGCTCTGTCCACTTCCAGACTTCTAATGGTGCCGGACAAACCTCCGGGCTTTAAGTCAGTGTTAGGGAGACTTGCCAGGAATCTCCATTTGAAAGGAGCACCTCCAGGTGATTCCAGTCAACACTCACTCAAGTCTGAGAATCTCGTTGGCAGCCATGTGTGGTTCTGAGTCATGCTCACGGTGGGCCTGCCCTTCCAGCACCAGCACAGGGGCACCTGCCTGTGTCAACACCAGGGCTGAGCTCCAGGGTGGAGAGGCAGAGGGCACAGAGCCACCTGGGGGCACCTGGGAGCCCCTGGAGCCCTGGTGCGCAACCACATGGCCCTTCCTCACCACTGGATAGAGGGACCAGGGGCAGCTACCTCGTTTGGGCTAGAAAACCAAAGTGATTATTTGTTAACATCCAAGGCTTCCATTTTGCAATAAGGAGAAGTAGACCCAGAAAAGGAAAGTGGTTTCCTGAAAGTCACACAAATGGTCAGCAGGCAAGCGGGGCCTGGAAGGCACGAGGGCTTGTTAGTCAGACGCACTATTTACATTTTTTGTTGTGTTTATTTGTATTTAAATGATTTAAAACTCAGAGGGATGGTATAGCTCTGTGACAGAACGCATACTTAGTATGCAATGGTCTTGGGTTCAATCCCCAGTACCTCCACTGAAAAAAAAGATTTAAAACTCACAGAATAGTTGCAAGAATCACTAAGAACTTGCATATACTCTTAGCCAAGAGACCCCATTCAAGCTTTGCCAGCTGTCCCAGGAATGACCTTTACAGCAAAAGGATCCAATCCAGGATCGTGTGTTGGGTTAGTTGTCATGTCTCTTTAGTCTCCTATCTAGAATTCCTCAGTCCACTCGTGACCTTTATGTCACCCTTAACATTCTTTAGTATTATAGGCCAGTTAATTTGTAGACTGTCCCTTGAGTCAGGTTTGTCTGATGTCTCCCACATCATTCTGCTGCACAGAAGTGACACTGTGATCCTTTCATTGTATCCCATCAGGTGGGACGTGATGACATTGCTTTGTCCTATTAGTGGAGGTTTAAACTTTGATCATTTATTAAGGTGGTGTCTGCTGGGGTTCTTTATCCATTTGTAATTAATAAGCATTTTATGAGGCAATACTGTGAAACTATGTAAATATCTCACTCCTCTAAATTTCCCCCAAAATATTAACGCCCATTGATAACTTCCTGCTTGAATTAATTATTGCTATATGGTTGCCAAATGATGGCTTTTAATTGCATTTTTTCCTTCATTTGTTAGTTGGCACTAGCTTGTTAGAAACTGCTTTCTCTTCTCCTTATCTGTTTTGTTGGTTTGCTTATTTATATCAATATGGATTCATGGATTCCTATTATACTCAATTGGTTATAATCCATTATTATTATTATTTGTTTTGATATTCAAATGATCCCAGATTTGGTCAGCAGCAGTGCTTTCAAACTGGCTTCTGTGACTTTTTGAAATGTTCCCATTAATTTTTGAGCACTTCCTTATTTTCTGGCGCACAAAGATGTTCCAGACTTATCACAGGAGTCCTGGTTCCTTTTAGTAGAGAATGGTACACTTATTTCTAAGGGCAGTTGCTATTCCCAGTCTCAATGGACAGAGCTTGAAAAAATATATGTATGTAGTATGAACATAGTTACACATACGCACACACTTTACAGTTGCATTGATTTCATGTCTACCAATCTAATGATGAGTTCATTGCCCCAATTTCAACCCAGCATCTAAGGTTCATTCCAGTGTTCCTGTTTTTCATATTTATAACTCCTTTCTGTGACAGTTGAAAACCTGGCTCCCATTAACACCAATATTTTTACTTATTTGCCCAATTCCCTTGTTTGTGGCCGATTTCTTGACCCCTACAGGGCTGCCACCCTGCTCAGCTGTCCACCTCCCGTGAGTGCCAGGGTCTCCACCAGGCCCTGCGCTGTGCAGCGCTGCCTAGTGACAGAATGACTGAGGAGGCAGGAGGGGAAGGAGAAAACTGGGGGGGGCAGGGAGCACATTAACTTGGTAGCAAAAACCCTCTCATATTTTATATCACTCTCTGCCTGCTGCAGCAAATTTAGAAAAGCACAAGAGGAGGAGAAAAGACAGGATATGAACTGTCCTACTCTAGGGGTTTACAAATTGAATAGTCAGGGAGAAGTTCTTTCTCTTTTTTCTTTAACTGAAGTGTAGTTGATTTACAATGTTAGTTTCAGGCGTACAGAAAAGCGATTCAGTTCTACATAGATGTATATTGTT